TTTTGTAACTTTGGTAATTTTATTTATTTAAATTACTTTTAAATATTTTTATATGTATTTGATAGTGAGAAGTGTGGAAGTATCAAATTTGAGCTTAATCTGATGAATAAAAAAAGTAACAAAATTGTGTATTCTGAAAAATGACTTGATTGTAAGATGTGAAATATATGGGATTATTTTTAAACATAAAGACAAAATAAAATAAATTTATTTATAATTTTTTTAAAAAAACTAAAAGGCGGGGCTTTAGGAAGCTGATATTCTGCTGTCCATTTTCTTCTTACAGAGCTCTCAGTCTTGAATGATTCAAGGAAATGGTCAATTTGATCAGCTTTCAGCCAGTGGTATTTGGTCTTCATGGCAACATGATCATATGTTTCAAAATCAACTGGAGTATGATTGTCCTTGAATTTTATTCTTAATAAAGTGCACTACAAGAAACGCATAAGATTACAGCAAATGTGAGAAGAGTTGATGCTCCAAGAGGGGTACGCTGTGCATTTGCTCCCGCTGGTAAAAATGGTGCCAGGAATATTTTTTGGACCCAATTTTTGGGATCTGACCTATAGAAAGTAACAACTAACCTATAGAACGTGACAACTAATCTCAAAAAATGGAAAATAAATTAAATAAGACTATCTATGTGCCTAAAAAATAACGTCCCAACTTTTGTAGGCCAAGATCTAGGTGTTCAATAAATTAAAATCTATTTAAAAATATATATCTTATATTGATGGATCCCAAAATCCGAGAAAAATAAAAATCCTCCCTAGTTTTTCTTTTGCTCGAGGGAGTTTTTGTACAGTATGCTCTTGCAGAGGCTCTGCCATACATGTATAAAGCAAATAAATGGACATTTTTGCTATTTAGAACCTCCAATACCATTTTACGTTGTGGGATTGTATATTACGAGAGATATTTCGGTAGTCGATACTTCTCAGTAACCCTCACTTTAGGAATTAGGAACCTTAAATGGGTGGATATCCTCTATATGGAGATGAATACAATTGAGTGTGAGAAATATGGTAAAAAT